TCTGTGTAACAGCCCTAAATGTCCTGAAGCTCACTCTGTAGACCAGGTTGGCCTGGAACTCACAGAGATCTGCCTGCATCTGCCTCCTGAGTGCTGGGATTAAAGGTGTGCGCCACTGCCCAGCTCGCTCCTGACTTTTTACGTGGGTCCTGAGAATTTGAACTCAGCTCATATCTTCTGATGTTACTGTGTGTTTAGTATACATTTTATATGGAGTCAGTGTGTATAGTTTTCTTAATTGTGTGAGTAGTTAGCATCTGTATTAATAACTATAATTTTTAATGAGTATAGTTGGGTCCTACTGTGAATGATCCTGTCATACCACATAGTATATAGTCATCTGTTGGTGGATGTTTAGGTAGTAGGTCATTTCTTTAATTGTTTCTTTGCATGAGTACACAAATACAATAAAATCTGCAACCTAGACTTTTATATTCACATTTTATTCAAAGATCCTTTAGAGACAAATTTTGTTAATATAGTAGTAATTAACATTTAGATACATTTTATTTACTTTTCTTCTTGGGGGTAAATTCATGAAAACAATACTGTGATGTTAATTTGTAAACATTTGTATTTCTTATTGCTGGTTTGCTTTCTGGAAGGTGGAAGGTTACAAGGTTTGTCCATGGTGTGTGAAAATGTTTGATTTCCCATACATGTACACAAGATGAGTTCTCATCTTTCAGCTTTGGCAAAGTGGTAATGGGGATGTATTTTTAATTTTTATTTGTTTTATTAGTGGCCTTGAATATCTTTTCAGATGTGACTGGTATGCTCTTTTGAGAGTTGTGGTTTTTGTGTTTGGTGTTTTTTGTTTTTGTTTTTGTTTTGTTTTGTTTTGTTTTTTGAGACAGGGTTTCTCTGTATTGCTTTGGAGGTTGTCCTGGAACTCACTCTGTAGACCAGGATGACCTCGAACTCACAGAGATCCACTTGTCTCTGCCTCCCAAGTTCTGGGATGGGATTAAAGGCATGAGCCACCAATGCCTGGCTTTTTTTTTTTGTCCCTGGTTAATTTCTAGGAACTCTGCAGGTGAGGGGTGTTAACACTTGCTTGCCATATGCTGCCAATACTGTTAAGGGTCTGCCTAGGATAATGAGTGACACAGAGTCTCTTAAGTGAGACTAAGTAGTAAGCAATGTTTATTATGGGCTTCTAGGAGTTTTCATATACCTGCTTTGAAGAGAAGCCTGTTCTGGCTTTCTCTGCAAGATTGTTTTATGACCTGATAATTATGAATAAGGTAGACTATTAACCACATGAATGTAAAACTGTTGACCTGCGCTGACCTTTGATGCATGTCCACACACTCTGAACACTTTGCTCCTTCTTTTCCGAGAGTTCTCACTCACCCCAGTTGGAAGCCTTACGGTTATGTGTGACGAAGGTTGTCATTCCCCAGCCACCATTAGTAACTGTTTGGAAGTACTAGCTGATGCCGTCATAGAACTTAGCCTGTTGGTCTACACCATTCCTCACACACCCAATCTGGTCTGATCTTAGAAGCTGAGCAGGTCCAGACTTGGATGAAAGGACTTAGTGTGATGATGACCCTTGGTTTCCATGGATCCTCACATAGCATTTGGATGCGTCTGGGGACAGTGTTGTAGCTTCTATTCTGCCATGGGGATAAAACACCTCGACCAAAGCAATTTAGGAGAGGCGGAGGCAGGGGCTTGAAACAGCTGGTCACCTGACACCCACAGCCAAGAGCTGAGAGAAACAAATGTGCCTGCTGGCTGCTTAAGCTCAGCTTTCTTCACTCTTGTACATTTAATGGCCCAGGCTAGGTGCCACCCACCAGGTCTGGATCCCCTACACCAGTCAACAATTACAAATCTCCCGCCACCTTGGCCACAGCCAACCTTGTACAGACACTTCCTCAGTTGAGACAAGTGACATTTAAATCTAACTATCACATATGTATTTCCAAGATACCGTTAGTCAGACGGTGGTGGCACACGCCTTTAATCCTAGCACTCAGGAGGCAGAGGCAGGCGGGTCTCTGAGTTCAAGACCAGCTTGGTCTACAAAACCTGTTCCAGGACAACCAAGGCTACACAGAGAAACCCTGTTTTGAAAAAAAAACTAAGACATTGTTATGGAAGTTAGCATTTGGACATAAATGGAGACGGCAGCTCTAGTGGGGGGGAGAGTGTGTAATTTAAACCCTATATTGATTTCAAAAGCCTGTTATAGGCCAGACCCAAACAAAGCCTACACTATTTTCAGGGCAGAGAAAGGTTGACCAGTCCACACCAAGCAGTCTGTGTCCATTCAGTTGCTTTGCTGCAAGGTGCATGGGAAGGAAGCTGTGCTCACTGGAGCGGTGCTGTGTGCAGACGTGCTTAAGACTTTGGAGTCATTGACACTGATGGAGACACACAGCCTCCAGAGTTAGGAAGGAAAGTACCAGGCTTGCCCCGAGGAATCCTGGCTCAGAGGCTCCCATTGGATCTAGTTCACAGTGAGAGGGGAGGCAATGCGTCACGGTTGGGAGGTGTGGCAGTGGGTCACATGCCACCTCAAGACACAGAGACTGTCGTCTGGCTCTCAGCTCACGGTCTCCTGTTTACTCATCCAGGCTTCTGCTCCCATGGAGCCCACTGCCGCCGCCACCTTCCCCACCAAGACTGCAGTCTCCTCAGACTGTGAGCCAGAATCAATGCTTTCTCCCTCAGGTTGCTTCCTGTCAGGTACTTGGTCACAGTGATGAGGAAAGCAACTGCTACCTCTCACCTCGGCCCCGACTATAGCCACTCACTTTACCTGTTAGCTCTCCTTGAGCACGTGGTCAATAGCTGCTCAAGGGAGATGTTCCCGTGGGCAGTGCAGCTCCTCTCTGTGGTTTAGGAAACCAGATTCTTCTATCTCTGTCATCCCTGGGGGCCCTGGAAAGGGAGAAAAAAGTGTGTGTGTGGGGGGGAGAGGTTGGTTCCTCCCCTGAGGGCACTGGCCTGGAGTTGGAATTCCTGATTCTTACATACCTGGAATTTAGTGACTGGAATTAGTCTGTGTCCATGTCACACAAGCAGACTGGGACAAGTAGTCCAGGCCTGGACATGGGTGAAGACAAGGAGTGTCCGTTCAGTGCCTGTCAGTGACTTACCTGTAGACAAGGCCTGTCCATGGCTGTCATGTGACTTACCTGCAGACAAGGCCTGTCCATGGCTGTCATGTGACTGTCATGTGGCTTAAACCTGTAGACAAGGCCTGTCCGTGGCTGCACTCTCTGGGTCTTTGGTCCTTAGTGAGAGCTGGGTGCAGTCTGTATAAAACACAGGCTTTCCTACAGTATCCTGCTGTGTGGACTGCTCCCCTCAGACTTTTGTTTACTACCCTGGAAGGAGTGCCTCCTCCTGCCTAGGGAATGCCCTAGGCAAGATGCTTCCCCCCCCCCAGTTTAGCACATTCAAAGACATTATGCACACAGCCCCATTCAGCCCCATGCTCTCAACACCTCTGGTGAAAGTGATGAGAACTACTCAGCCATTTATTGCTGCTTCTCTGTCCCTATCTTGCAATAAAAACTTCAAGAGAAGCCCTGGGCCCTTCGCCTGGAATCCCCTGGTTCTGTTGAATCTCTAATTCAGTTCAGTTCCTCTGCACCTGTCACTGGAGGGAGAAAACACTGATCAAGGTGGTTTTGTGACTGATGAGTAGTTTTTTTTTTGGTTGCTTTATTTTATCTTTGAAACATTTGCTGGATTAAGCAGTTACAATGTAACAAACTGGGGGCCCCACAAGCACCTGTAACTCTGAAGAATACAAAGACCTGAATGCATGCACCACACACATGTGCATACACTCATACAGATACAAGTTAATTAGTTCTCCTATTTAAAGCCACGAAGGAACAAGTAATAAATTGTGTGTCTAATTAGTAGGATTCAGTGGAACTAGGTAAGTAGACACTTAGGCCGTTCCCTTCTATACAGTGGGCAGTCAGTAAAGTGAGCCTTTCCCTGCTGACGAAAGCCCTGCTTGCCTCTTTGTGTGTCCTTAACCTGGTTCTACTCTCTCAGGAAACACAGCTCTACCCTGTTTCCTTTGACTATGGTTGTCATTGTTCTCAATGCATCATTAGCAGTGAAATTCAGACATCTATTTTTTCAATTATGTGTGTATAGACCTACAGTGCACACCTTTAATCCCATCCTTCAGGAGGCAGAGGCAGATATATCTCTATGAATGTGAAGCCAGCCCGGTCTATTTACATAGCAGGTTCCAAGCCAGCGAGGGCTACATAGTGAGACCCTATCCAACTAGCCTCTCATTATTATATATTTATTAATTTATTAAAGGTAAAAATCAGTGCACTGCACTCACAAGACAGAATGAAGCTACCACAACTCTGTCATTTCCACTGCTGTTACCTCCTCATTCCCAGGGGGCATGGGGAGCCAGTTTGCCCACCTCCCAGGAGCAGCCCCATTTTATTCAGGGCACACACCCAATAAAGACTCCACCCTTTGGGTCAGGCTGCTTCTTACAATTGGCTAGTGAACCTGTGTCAGAATTCTTGATATATATGTATGTATATATGAGAGAGAGAGAGAGAGAGAGAGAGAGAGAGAGAGAGAGAGAGGACATGTGTGCATGTATGTGTTTGCATTGTCTAGTCTTCAGCAGAAGGGTTTGTCCGAGTCCCTCGTCTGCTGTCCTAGAAGTAGAAGTCCTGGCTTGTGCTCTTACTCGGTGTGTCACTTTTTTTTTTTTTTTTTTTGGTTTTTACGAGACAGGGTTTCTCTGTATTGTCTTTTGGAGGCTGTCGGTCCAGCCCGGCCTCGAACTCTCAGAGATTCGCCTGCCTCTGCCTCCCGAGTGCTGGGATTAAAGGCGTGCACCACCACCGCCCGGCTCAGTGTGTCACTTTTAGAATGCATAGTTGGAGCAAAGTTTCTGCAGTGTCTCTGCCTAGTTGGGGTAATACAGTGGCTAGCATATTGCTTTCTTCCTAGAATAACTGGCTTTTGCTTTTTGTTTAAATTTCCAGTAAGTTTGTCAAGATGAGAGTGACTTTATCAACTTTGGATACTTGTGACAGCTCCTTCACACCTCTAGTGGTCATAGAACTTGCCCAGGATGTCAAAGAAGAAACCAAAGAATGGCTCAAAAACAGAATTATCGCTAAAAAGAAAGATGGAGGTTAGTGAAATAGTTACTCTACCAGCGTGGTCATGGTGACTTATTGATGTGTGTCGGCAGGTGTGTTTTACACGGTATCTCTTGGCTCTGTATTACCTGTCTGGGGTTTGAAAATTTAAATTAGCACTAGACTGAAATCCCTACTAGACAGTGGGCTATGTGAGTCCTTTCTAAAGGACATGCTTAACACAACACCCAGAGGGAGCGTGACGCATGCGTGGTAGGAATGTCATAAGTACTGTCATGTGAGCAGACACAATGTGCTGAGCATCATGGTTTTTTTCGATGCCACAGGAAGGACACATCTGATCTCCGCCTATAGACACTGCTGCCCAGGTGGGGGAATGAACACTAATTCCTAGAATGTCAAGTGAAAACCCAATTAGTGGATGCATTGTCAGGGCAGTGCCCAGTACACACATGTGAACCATACTTGTGGCTGCTGTGCAGTAAGGGAAAGCAAAGACTTGGGGGTAATTTGACAGTGGAATGATGGAGATAACCCCTGACAGTGTGGCTTAGCCATCAGACGAAGCGCAGCAGGGGCGTGGGCTGGTGAAAAAGTCGAGGGCTTTGGATAACCAGACAGAGTTACTAACTAACTGTGCAGCTGAGGGCTGGAGTCAGGCCTTTGACTGACTGTAAACTGATGTCTTAAGAATAGACTTTTGAACCAAAGTAGAAATGCAACATGTTTCTCAAAGTAATTGAACCAAAAGGGAAGAGTATTTGCTTACTGAAATTTGAGATACTTTCGATTGGATTGGGGCCTCCTCTTCATGATTCTGTGATTTACGAGTAACCCCACTGAGTTCCCAGCTACTTTTGCCCTGGCCCTGTGTCTCCAGGGACACTGGGGAGAAGGAAAGGGACATTTGTAGGAGAAAGTACCTTGGGTTTCCCCAGAGAGAGGATGTGTATTTAATAACACTGTTTGATTTTATTACTTCTAAACTCCAGTTAAAACTGTGGTAAACATAACAAACAAAAGCAGAACTATTTAAAAATATAAGAGCCTGTTGGATCTGAATGACTGAGAAGCGGGCTAGCACCCTCGAGGCCACAGAATGGAAGGGCAGTGGGACTCCTGAAGAAAATGCAGGGTTTCCACAGGCTCCACCAGGTGATTCCCAGGAGCCTGAGGCTCACTCTGGGTGGAGGGTTGGGTGCTGGGATGGTGGGGGCAGGCTTCTGTGGAGGTTGGAAGAGACCATTCTTTTTTCCCACCCCAAGGCTCACATCTAATTCAGTTTATAAATGAGTAAGACTGCTAGTAATCCAGGAGGCATATTGAATTTCTCAGGGGCATCTTAACCCATTTAGGACAAAAGAGTGAATTGTAGAAAAACCAAGGGATTGTCTAGGAAGTGACCCGCTGAAGTCTCTACCCATTAAAGGCCATGCTGGATGAATCCACCTAAATTCTCAGGACGTCAGACCCTTTGGGTCCCTTTCTTAAACAAGAGCCAAAGAGAAAAGGTTGTCACACGTCTGACACAGGGAGATGAAGCTGATGAAGAGCAGCACGCGCCAGGAGGATAGAGCTTAGCCCCCCACAAATGAACTGTTAGACAGACAGGTGCCAGGAGGTTAGAGCTTAGCCCCCCACAAATGAACTGTTAGACAGACAGGTGCCAGGAGGATAGAGCTTAGCCCCCCACAAATGAACTGTTAGATAGACAGGTGCCAGGAGGATAGAGCTCAGCCCCCCACAAATGAACTGTTAGACAGACAGGTGCCAGGAGGATAGAGCTCAGCCCCCCACAAATGAACTGTTAGACAGACAGGTGCCAGGAGGATAGAGCTCAGCCCCCCACAAATGAAGAACTGTTGGACAGACAGGTACCAGGAGGATAGAGCTCAGCCCCCCACAAATGAAGAACTGTTTGACAGACAGCCTTGTAGGAAAAGCAGCTTTTACAGACTGGGAACATAAAATCCCATGTGAAAAACCAAAGTGGCTGAGAGAACGTTAGCAAGATCTCCAAGAACACAGATCAGAATGTTAGGGCAAAGATAGCACGGCCAGCCCAGGAGACTTACGCCAAATAGAAGAATGGGGATGAGGAGAAATGGAGGAGAGGATCTCAGGAACCATTCCAGCATTCAGGGAAAGAGTGTGCCCTGTGAGCAACTGCACCAGTGAAAGATCCAGAACCCCGGGGATTAAGATGCAACAGTCTTGCAGGAACAAGGACGGCAAAGCCATGTCCAGCGCTTCTCCGAAGTGTCTGGTGTAGAGGCGGTGGGATCTTTTCTAGTTCTGAAGGGGCTCTCACATACCTAGCCAGTGGAGGGGCAGGGTACAGAGAGGCTCTTCCAGCAAAACTGCTGACAGTGTGTCATGGGGAGACTTCACCCAGAGCACAGAAATTAGAGCTCTTATGTGTAGACTAGGCAATGAGTCAGGCAGAAACTTTGGTGAGTGGTGAGTGTCACCACCAGACTCCTTGGAGGTTACACCAGGTCTCCTCCCATAGAGGGGCTTCCTCACAGGCAGAACATCAGCTTCTGTATGCAAATCACACTCAGCTGGGAATTGAAGGTATAAGAGGTGTCCTGGAGAAAACCACACAGGGCAGTCTGTGAGAAGCTGCAGCCTGGAACAGCCTTGAATGCAGTCCACCTCTGTAAAAAAAGTCAGGCAGAGAATTCTGCCCAGAGGAACGGGCTTGCTGTCCACCCTGCAGTTTGGTGCTGCTTTTCGTAGGGGCTGTGGAGATGGGCCAGGGGGAAGTTCTTGGCATGCAACAGGAGGACCTCTTTTTATCTCCAGCATCTGCACCCAGGGACATCGGTGAAATTCTGTAATCCCAGAACAGGGGCTGCAGATCCAGGGGATTCCTGTGAGCTGCTGCTCAGATAATCTAGCTAAATCGGTGAGTTTCAGTTCAGTGAGAGGCCATGTCTTAAAAAATAAGGAGAACAATTGAGGAAGATACTCGACATTCACCTCTGGCCTGTGTATGCATGTTCACACATGTGCATATTCATGTGTGCACTCGTGCACACACATGCACAAGCACAAGCTTAGCATCTATTCCTAACTTCCTTATATTTTCACTTGGATAATAGACTTAAATTGCTAATATAATTTTGTTTCCTTATACCAAGTAGAAACCTTGTGTTTTTATAGATTTTCTTTTTTTGAGTGTTTGTGTCTATTTTGTTCTATACTGTGCTATCTTGTGTTTGGCAGGTGCCCAGCTGCTGTTTAGACCACTGTTAAATAAGTATGAGAAAGAAACAATAGAAAACCAGAATTTATACCTTGTTGGTGCCTCCAACGTAAGACTGTTACTTGGGGCAGAAGCAGTAGGCCTGGTGAAGGAGTGTACAGATGCTGCCATGCGGGCCTTCACCTACGCAACACGCCACAACTTCAAAGGTTTCCATGGTAAGCACCGTGACTGTTTTTCTACCTAAATGTGTTTGCTGCAGAGAAGTGTTTATGAGATCAGAGGTCTACACAGCACCAGTATTTACTCAATATCTAGGCTTTGTAGGCCTTAGTCTCCACTCAGTTACTCTGTTCTGCCCTTGACCATAAGTGGACTGTCTGTGTGGTGTCCTTGGGTCATAACTTACTCTCCCTGGAGTAGATGAACACAAGTTAGAATGTGCGCCATATTTACGTTGTTTTAAATGCCAGGGCCTCTCAAAGAGAATATTGTAGAGAGAATTGGGGTCTCAGGCTCTCTGAAGGAGGGGCACTCGCTTCAGGTGTGTGGGCTCCTGGCAGCAAGCACTGTTGGAGTTAGAACATGGAATTAGGCCTCTTAGTACCAACTCACTGTAGAATTTTTTATCTCACTGATACGGTGATCTGGGTAATGTTTCCTCAATAAAAAGATTCATCTGTCAGAGCTGCTGTTTTCTTACAGGCTTTATTCTCCATGATGCTTGGTTCCAGAAGGGAGTGAGGCCAATGTGACAGCTTGGTAGGGGCTTCCCCACTTAAGTCAACTTGTCCATCTGAGTTAGAAACATTGCTACCATTGAAGAATGTGCAAGCTTACACAGCATCACCCCCATGTCCCCTATTAAAAACATCCTACAATTCAGAGCACAGCCCCTGATCATTGGCTCCAAGTGAAGCCAGGGAAGTGTGTGCTAAAGGACTTCTGGTGCTGGAGAAGCTTTGAAATGACTGGAGGCGGAGTCAGCAATCAGAGCGGACTTGGTACCCTCATATTAGCAATCAGAGTGGACGCGGCACCCTCATATCTAAAGTGCCTTGCCGTCTGTTAACTCTCCAGTTTGTTCTTTGGCAGCTCCATAGGTTGGTTATGTTTATGGCATTCCTATACCACAAGCATAACAATTTGAACATTATTAATTTTATATTGCTACTAAGAAAGTAACCGGGGATTTTATTGTGTTTCAGATAACAACGATGACTTCCTCACCATGGCCGAGTGTCAGTTCATTATCAAGCACGAACTTGAGAATCTTAGAGCTAGAGATGAGAAGATGATCCCCGGTTACCCCCAGGCCAAACTGTACCCCGGGAAGTCACTGAGTAAGTCTGTCAGCCAGCTCTCCCAGGCCCACTGCTAACACTCTTTATTAGCCACGATTATTGAGAGAGTCCACAGCCTCCTGTTGTGCCTTTAACCCCCCCCCACTTTGTCCTTTGCTGCTCCCCTGGTTCTCGAAGCATCCAGTCAGCTTGAAGGTCGTGCAAATTAGGCTCTCATTGTTCACTCCATGTCAGCAAAGTTCGCTTTATACCCAGAGAAAATCAGTTGTGGTGGTATTTTGTTTGTGCTTTAACAAGGTTGATCTCTCTGAGTCTGAGGCTAACCTGGTGTATACAGAGTGAGTTCCAGGATAACCACGCCTGTTACACAGAGAAACCCTGTCTCAGAAAAAAAAAAAGAAAAACAAAACAAACAGAAAACAAATAAAACTTGCCTGAAAATCAGAGTGTGGAGCTAGCCACACAGATTAGCCATAAAAAGCAGGCAGTGGTAGTTACACGCCTTTAATCCCAGCACTTGGGAGACAGGCAGATGGATCTCTGTGAGTTCAAGGCCAGACTGAGCTACATGAGATTCAATCCCAGTACTTGGGAGTCACACGCCTTTAATCCCTGCACTAGGGAGGTGGAGACAGGAGTGATATGGCTGAGGAGCTCAAAGCATTCAGTCTGAGGATTCTTAGAGACAGGATCACCCTTTCACTCTGAGGTAGAGGTAAGAACTAGTGACTGACTGCTCTGCTTCTCTGATCTCTCAGCTCTCAACCCCCAATGTCTGACTCCGTTTTTTTTTATTGATAAGACCAATTAGAATTGGAGCTACACAGAGTGAGTGGGCTAGGCAAGGACTTACTCACCCTGGAGTCCTGCTCGTGTTCCCTGAGACCTCCCTGAGGTGACCATAACAAACACAGAGTAACTTAAGACACCCTAACAAAGGGTGCAGCAGGCCGAGCACTGGTGTAGCGTCCCTTGGTGGTGGTGGCTTCACAGTGGAAACACACCAGTGTTCACAGCAGCACGGCCTTGGAGCTCTGGCTCCAGCCCCCAGCCCTGGGTCCCTGCATCTGCCTTTCCTTTTAACTACAGGCGTGTCCTTGCACCTGGGCTGGTTTCAGCCTCCATGCAGGAGTGCCTGAGTGCAGAGCCTCAGGGACCACTCCACACTTCCCAGCTGCCCCCAGATGTGCTCTTAAGCCTGTCTGCTCAAAGCAAGGCCAGGCAAAAGCTGCTGCCTTGTTTGCCACTGTGTGCCTTCAAACTCTTTGGAGAGGACACTTTCTCATTTGCATGTTTTTCACAGCATTGACTTCTGCAGGCATCAGGCCCTTCATCTGTGTGTGATAATGCTGTATCAGGGGCTGGGTCTCTGCCTGCCTCCTCCTCGGCCTCTGTGTTCTGAGCCCACAGGGCTCTGTCTCCCAATCTCTCTATCCTGGGATGCGGATTTGCCTTGGTGTAATGGCATTTTTTTCAAAAATTGGGTCTTTTTTGACCTTTTGTTTTAAATGTTGGAGTACTTTCTTAGGATAAATTATCTTTTTTTTCCCCCTAAAGCAAGCTACAGTAGTTACTCTTGTATCTTCTAAATTATATTCTGGATGCCTAGGTCAATGTGGCTTAACTTTTTAAAAATTAATTAATTAATTAGTTTTACATCCAGAATGCAGCCTCCCCTCCCTCCTCTCTTCTCTTTCCCTTCCCTGTCCTCCCCTCTGCTCTCCCCTTAACCTACCCCTCCTCAATGGAGAGGGGCAGGCCTCCTATGGGCTTTAGCGAAGCCTGGCACATCAAGCTGCCACGAGACTGAGTACCTCCCTCTGTGTTCAGGCTGGGCACTGCAATCCAGCATGAGGAATGGTTTCCCAAGAGCCAGTCAGAGCACCAGCACAGCCCTGCTCCTATTGCCAGGAGTCCCACATATGGACCAAGCTACTCAGCTGTCACAGATGCAGAGGGGCTCCCTGGTTGATGGTTCAGTCTCTTTTGAAGTGTTAAAACAGTCCTTTAAAATTTACACACCATAAACAAGAAAACATTTCTCTGGACCAATGTGCACATCTTATGTTTATTTTCTCTAAAGGGGAGTCATGAAAGAGGAGCGACATAATTTTTCGGTGTCTGAATTTGAGGACTGGTTGAATTTTTGTTAGGTATTCTTTCTGTCTGTCCCATGCTACAGTTGCCCAGCATTTCTCTTCCTTACTGTACATCGTCAGAGAGGAGGCATTGTTCAAGAGAGCACTCTTCACCCAAGGGGGATGTTTGCCTGCACCTACCGTCTTACACCTCTACTGTTGTTACGGATGCTTGCTCATCTAGACAGATCCAAGTGCGCTCTTTGTGGGGCACACGGTGTTCCACCTGTCATCGTATAGACAGCTGTCTTGTGTGTTCCCTCCATTTCTTTAATCGTAGAGAGAGCAGCAAAGATCCCCGAGTGGCCGCTAGATCGCAGGTGTCCTTCCTGTGCTCATTGTCTCCGAGTCAACTGGTTTTTACATGTGGTCATCTCCATCAGACTGAGAAAGCAGCCATTCTTCTGCTTAGTCTAGATTGTGTGTGGGCTGAGTTTTATCAGGCTCTGGAGTGTCTGTGAGGTTTTGTAGTTTTGTCTATGTGCCGTCAGCTCAGCCAGTGCTGTTCTAGTGTGAGCCTGCTCTTAACTTTTCCTGGTGAACTCTGCCTGTGTAATTAATTTTTCTGTTGAACATCACTTTTTCAAATGATGGGAATATTTTATTTTTATTGTATTTCTGACCATTTATTTCTCTCTGGTCTACAACTGAATTTTGCCATTTACTTTTTTATCATTTGTATTTTTTTCTTGATCAATCATAATCCTAGAAATTGTCAACTGTGGGATTTCATGTTTCTGCCAATGTGCTCTCTGTAGGGTGTGTAGTGCTATTAGATTCCTCGTTTACTGTTGTGTGAGGTTGAACTCAGTCTTATCTTGGGGTTCTTGTTTTATTCTGTGTTCCTGTTTTAATATACCCCTTTGTTTTTAGTGCCTCTGAGGATCATTTTAGCTGGTTCTCATATTAGAATACATTTGGGGTTTGCATGCAGCCTAATCTGTAGACTTTTTGCCCCCCTAAGGATATTTCTTTGTTGATGCCATTTGGTTCTATGGTTTTGGTGGCCAAGCCCTGGGCTTCACACCCCAGGCAAGGCCTCCATCCCTGAGCTGTCATTCAGGGTTATGCTGTCTGATAATGACATACTTTGTACTGGGCTGTTTCATTTGGTGTTATATTTCATGTTGAAATTGCTTTTTCAAGTGCTTAAGAAAAAATTTTACCTCATGATGTGTAATTTCTTCCTTTTCAGTGAAAAAAGATATGCAATATCTATTTTTAAAAAATAGTCAAACTTAGCATAAATTTACTTAATTTCTTTGACTTCATATTTGTATTTAAAATCTTTTTAAAACGTAAACATTTTCATTTTCTATTTTTATTAATTTTTATTTGTACAGAGTAATGGATGTGGTGACATTTCATACATGTGTCTCTGACGTCAGTGACTTCATATCCCCTCCTCCACGGCCCTCCTTTGCCACGCCCTCCTCAACTGAAATCTGAAACGCCCTTCATGCCCCTTCTGCTTCCTCATTGACTTAGATCCGCGTGGGAGAGAAAATGAGGGGTTTTTGTCGTCATCCCTGACTCCGTGACCCTTTCTTGTCCTCCCCCTATCATGGTCCCTTTCGCTTTGTGTCCTGCCTGCCGTGCCTCCTGGTCTTTGTGTCCTGCCTGCCGTGCCTCCTGGTCTGCCCCTGGCTGCGCTGGCGCTGTGTGGATCTGGCGGATGCCGGTCCTTGCTCTCGTTGGTCTGTGCAGCCCTTAGGAACTGAGTGCAGTCATCCGCTATGTCTTCAGTTTTTCTTTCTCTGTTTGCAGACAGGGTCCCACTCTGTACCCTTGGGTGGCCTAGAACTCGCCATGCAGAGTGTGGCTCCTCTGCCTCTCCTGCTTGTTGGGAAAGCACACACTGCCACTCTTGGCTCTGTGTGTCTGGTGGTGAGTGTTTTTTGTTTGTTTGTTTGTTTGTTTTGATTTTTTTTCCTTTTTATGAGTGAAGCAACTTATTAGCCCAGTATCCATTGATCGTTTGCTTCTGGTTGGCAGCTGCCACAGGTTTGGCAATCCTGCCCAGATTTTCTGCCCCTGAAGTGTTAGCTTGTGCTCCCCATGTCGGTCCTTTCCCACTGCTTGGAGGACCCGGTGGCCCATCTCTTGGAGGGCCTACTGAAGTGGCTGTGGTCACAGCACTGCCTTGAGGCGCGGGCGCAGTGCCGTGGGAGCAGTTCCCCTCGCAGGGAGCGAGCTCTGTGTTTGGACAGCTCCACCGCGTCCACCCATCTAGGGACTTCCGGCTTCCACAGCTCTAAGAGATTCCCACCGGTTTACACTGTCTGACCTAAGAGCTGCCAGCCAGGGGAAAGGCTGGGACTAGTTTTTGTCTGTTTCTTGGTTACTGTCCTGTCATTGTGTAGGGAAGGATGGCCACCACTTGAGGAAGCATTTCTTCAGTTGGCCTGAAGAGTCTGTTGGTGGCATTTCCTTTGTTCTTGGGGTGTGGATTATGTGTGTGCTGGCTCTCACACAGTTACTTTCTATGATGCTGATTATCCTAGGCTTATTTTTTTTTAGATATTTATTTATTATGTATATAACATTCTGTGTGCATGTATCCCTGCAGGCCAGAAGAGGGCACCAGATCTCATAGGTGATTGTGAGCCACCATGTGGTTGCTGGGAATTGAACTCAGGACCTCTGGAAGAACAGTCAGTGCTCTTAACCTGTGAGCCATCTCTCCAGCCCTGTCCTAGGCTTATACCTTAGTTTCCCGCCTATTTTTTCTCTTTCCTTCTTTGTAACTTCATTGGTTTGGAATTTGTAGTCATTTCACTTTTTCTCACATTGCTTTTTGGAGCCCATTCCTTCAGTCCTCTTAGGAAGTTGAATTTTGGAGCTATGTTTGCGCAGATCTCTTCACACCACGAGCTTTTCCTTGTGTGGCGCTGTGATTTCCCACCCCTGCACTCTTTGTTTGCTTTGTGTTCTCATCCATCTTGGTTTTCTAGTCTTGTTTTACTAGCTTCTTTGTGATTATTACTTACCATAGCATGAGTTTTCTGACCCGGCTGGCGGCCCTATTTCCTCATGGCCTTCTCTTACTGGAGGAAAGGTCCAGGCCTCTTGCTCCCTTGGGGTCTACATGCATCTGCTCAGTGTCTCCTCAGAGAAGAGAGAGAAGAGAGCGATTTCCTGTTTGTCTCTGCTTATATACTGATTCTGCCCTGCTATGTCACTTCCTGCCTGGATCACATGGCGACTTCTCTTTACTACATTTCCCAGAATCCTCCTTCACTCCTAGTCCCAACTATCCTGCTTTCCTTGTTTTTGTTTTAGTCAGGAGCTCAGTCTATAACCCTTACTGGACTCAAATTTGCAGCAATCCTCCTGCCTCAACCTCCCTAATGCTGGGATTACACGTGTGAGCCGCCACTAGCACGTTTTAAGTGAATTCCTGTTTCCTCCCAGATTGGCAGTTTGGGAAGTAGGGCGTGGGAGGAGGGGGACCATCTCTAGCGAGAAGCAGCGTTAGTGAGAAGCTTACATCTTGCCCTGCAGTGACTTCTCCTCGAGCAGCCGTGATCTGTACTTTCTAGGGAGCCCTGTCCTTGCAGGGGTCTGTGGGACAGGGTCTTGATCGTCGCCACGGCTGATGGCCTTTCCACTGGTTACACTGCAGATGTGCGTGGAGTCTTGGAGGCGCATCTGTGTCCCCTCTGTGTCTCAGTAACTCCAGAATACCAGCCCACCAACTGCTGCCCCATCCAGGGTTAGAGACTTCAGTTTTTCCCTCTGCTGACCTTAAAGGTTTTGTTGCATGGTCTGTGATTTGGATTTGTAAATTTGGTTTCATGAAACACTTTTTGTTTGTTTTTTGTTTCTAGTTTTCTTTGTTTCTGATTTTGTCTCATGGACAAGTAAGGGTTTATTGTTGCCACTGCTCCAGGTGTCCAGGCACAACACTTGGTTGGTATCCTTTCTAAAGGGCTTGTGGCCGGGCGGTGGTGGCACGCGCCTTTAATCCCAGCACTCGGGAGGCAGGGGCAGGCGGATCTCTGTGAGCTCGAGGCCGGGCTGGACCGACAGCCTCCAAAACAATACAGAGAAACCCTGTCTCGTAAAAACCAAAAAAAAAAAAAGGAGGGGGGGGAGCTTGTGTAATCTTCATTCTCTTGGTTGGGTGGCATGTTCCAGATACTTCTAGGTAGTGCTGCAGGACAGACAGACAGACACCCTGAAGCGTGGTCCTGGTGCTGCTGGAAGCTTCTATCTTCTCTTTCACCTGTACCCATCAGTCTTCCACTGGGAGATCCCACACAGCCTCTGGCGGAGCTCATGGGAGTGTGCTCTTTCCTAAGCCACCCTGGCTCCCTGTTTGGTGATGTGCTCACAGCTCCTGTGTTTCTAGATTGTTCAGTGTGAGCTCTCACCAGAGCTGAGAGGTGGTGCAAGGCTCGTTCTCCAGAGCTGTGATGCGAAGACATTTCTTCTCTTACAAAGTCAGGACCTCACGTCCTCCGTTACAGTAACAGATTAGTGTGCACTCTGACGTGCTGATGTCTCTGACACCGTATGGCTGCCGTTTCAGTGCAGTATCAGCCTCTTCTATGTGTATGATGGACAGGGGGAGTAGAGGGAGTCTGTCTCTAAATTCCTGGTCAACATCATAAGAACAATGACATAGTTTTCAAATACCACAATGCGTGTAAGAATGTTCAGCTATTGGTACATAGGTTTATATTTTGTTACACACAGCAAACATGTGCACTGGGCTTGGCCATACACTTTTATAGTCTTCATGTTAAACAGGGAGAAAATCAAATAAGAAACATGGGAAAGTTGGGTGTCAGTGGCACACGCCTTTAATCCCAGCAATTGGGAGGCAGAGGCAGGTGGATCTCTATGAGTTTGAGGCCAGCCTGGTCTGCAGAGCGAGTTCCAGGACAGCCTCCAAAACAGTACGGAGAAACCCTGAAAAAAGAAAAAGAAACACAGGAATATCATAGTGTATTTTGGAGACACAGGTATGGCAGCATGTAGGCAGACATGGTGCTGGAGCTGAGAGTCCTACATCTTGCAGGCAACAGGAAGTTGACTGAGATACTGGGTTGTATCCTGAGCATAGGAAACCTCAAACAATGACAAACTTCCTCCAACAAGGTCACACCCATGCCAACAAACCCATACTTCCTAATAGTGCCACACCCTGTGAGATTATGGGGGCCAGTTACATTGAAACTACCACACCCTGATGCCCAGCAGCCACAGGGATGAGGGCTGTGCTGGTTATCCATTGCCATGGAACCGCCCCCTCCTTCCTTTGGCATCTGCCCTCTGGTTAGATTCAGGAGGAGTGGCCTCTGCCAGGGGAGGGAGGCATGCCCCCCAGCCAAGTCCTGAGACTCCTTTTCCTTTTGAGGCGAACACATCCGATCAGCCAAAGGCAACTGTACCATTAGCAGTGTTGCTGCCTCCCTGACTGAAGGATCCTGCAGACCAGGCCATCCAGAGTTTCCCTTGGGTCAGATTTTGTTTGTTTGCTAATTATTCAGTGGCTCCAGGACTTGGTATGGAAGGAAGTTAACTGGCTGAAGTCCCTGCCCTCCCTTGTTAGGCCCAAGCACCCTCCTATTCCCCTCTCAAGGTAAGAGTCCTTCCTTGTAATTACAATCAAGCTGACAGCGGAGGCTGGAGGGTGTTAAAGAAGCCAGCCTCTATTTTTAGAGTTGAAACCAGAACTGCGCTCTGGCATTGAAGGTGCTGAGAAGCTGGTAATTTAGGACTCAAAGCTTCTCTAGAGGCTCCATTCACTGTCCTATTTTTGGAGATATACAACCAGGTTCTCTGTGCCTGCTGGAGAGCCTTCCACAGTGGAGTCATCTCTTCCAGAAGAACCCGGAACTTAGTGCCACAAGCCAGCCCAGGGTTTAAACACTAGTGCAGTGGTGGGGGAAAAAAACGGATGGAGAGGCTGTCTGCAGCTGTGCACCCCTCACCGAGGGCCACGGTGGGGGGCTTGTGTGCAACTCACCTAAGTCACGTTAGCCAAAGAAAAGTCCTCAGACATTCCTGCAGAAAGAGCTCACAAAGTGGCGTCGACAGCACCGAAGCTGATGTACTCAAGCCGTACCTTCCCACCCTCGCAGCGCACCTTGGGCTTGTACCGTCTCCAGTCTTAGGAAGGGTTCCTCACAGTCTGCCCTCACAGTCCATGCCTCCTCTGTGTAGAGCTTGTGTGCTGATGTCACCAGGAGAGGACTGCTGGGGGCAGACTGCTTTGTTTTCCCTCCAGTCAGTGCAGCCGAGATGCTAGCATCGGCCCATGGACTCATGGGAAAAGCACCCCAGCTCCCCAGTGTGGCCCTTAGGACCCAAGACCCCTCCAGACTAGCGGGTCACTCTCAGTCTGCAGCAGATAGGAGACTCTGGGTCTGTCAGGCACTGCCAGGAGGCACTGGTCTGCTTGCGTTTGTCTTTTCCACATTGTGTGGTGAATGTTCCAACCATTTTTGTCACCCAGATGGAGGGAACTCAATGGGATTTTTTGAAGTTCCTGCTTGTGGATATGTCTTTGTCACTAGGTGTAACGTATAGTCTTCCTGCCCACCACCTGGTTCCTGTTGCTGCTTTCAGCCCCCAAATAACACACAGGACACTATAATAATTATGAACTGTTGGCTGTTTGCTTGTTTCTTATTGGCTAGCTCTGATTTGATCATTAACCCATAATTACCAATATATATTTTATAAGAACTTTCATTTTTGAGGATGCACTCCTGAGTGCCCATTGCTCCGGGGAGATCACATAGTGAGAGCTCTCCTCACTACAATTCCCAGAATCCTGCTAGAATCCTAGTCCCACCTATCTTGTTTCCCTATTGGCCAACAGTGCTTTATTCAAGCCAGTCAGACACATATTTACAGAATGACGTCTCCCAATAATGGAAAGATAAAAATGAGTGAAAATACTTGCTGTCAGCAGAAACAAAAGAACTGTAGTGAGGGGAGGTTTGAATATTGGTGGGGGGAGTCAATTTTGTAAGATGTGTTCAAACTTAAAATTCATTTACCGTTGGCCCTGGATGACAACAAAGTGGAGAGGTGAGATAATATGTGTGTGTAATAATTTCAGGATTTTGAGGGGCTGGAGAAATGGCTCAGAGAGTAAAGGTACTTGTTACTCTTGTAGAGGACCTGGGTTTGGTTCCCAGCACCCACATGGTGGCTCACGACCATCTGTAACTCCAGTCCCAGGGAATCCAACGCCCTCTTCTGACCTCTGGGTCCTCCATGCTCACATGGTGCAATACATACATGCGGACAAACATGCATTTACATAAAATAAAGAAATCTAAAAAGGAAAAAGAAAAAAGAATTTCAGTATTTATTCACAATGGCAAAAACCAGAAACAGTTATTCTTTAGCACAGACCTAATCACAGTAGGTTCACACTGGGAGATGTTACAACTGTAAAATGAGAATTCCTCTAGATTCCTGGTAACACTGAAAAGTTGTAGATACCATGGCTCAAATGATAAGAACCCTGTGAGGTGTATGAGACGATTCCCATTTCGTATTTTAACATGAGTGTATTTGTGCACAGATTTCAGTGTGTATTCTGACGTCTGTTTATACATTAAATTGCTGTTTATAGTGCTATTTTTATGTGGAGAGAAGAACAGAAAGTTTACATGCTTCTGACTTACACAGTTTGTGTGGTTTACAACTCTACTCAAATTGCACTGCTTTCATAGTGAAAGAAAAGTAGTAGAGATATTTATATTGTGAAATACGTTGTTCACATTGAGAAGGGGCAGGGGCATCCTCGCACTGTTTGCTGGAGGCATCCCAACCGTCCCGGTGTTTAGACCATTCTCATGCTTGCTTCTGCAGTGAGAAGATTGCTCACGTCTGGCATCGTGACCCAGGTGTTTCCACTGCATGACACCGAGGCCTTGAAGAAGCTTGAGGACACCTGGTATACTCGGTTTGCTCTGAAGTATCAGCCCATAGGTATGTGTCACTGCCTGTGTCCCGCTGAAGAGAGAGCCCTGATGAAGCCACTGCCCTGTGTCCTTAGCAGTTGCAAGGGCAAGAGGACAGGTTGATGGCCTTGTTCCTTTTAAAATATCATTCAGACTTTGGGTAAATTTGATCTACCACATAGGCAGTTTAGAGTAGCCTTTGTGAATACATGCTTTAGTTATATGTATGTACGCATGCAAGGTGGTGGGGTTGGGGGCTGTGCGTGTGAGTCTAAGTGCTTGCAGAGGGCATCAGATTCTGGAGCAGTTCAGGGCTGCTGGACGTGGTTTGATTTGAACTTGGGTCCTCTGCAAGAACACCAAGTACTCTCACCTGCTGAGCCATCTCTCCAGCACCAGTGAATCCATGTCTGTGAGGGAGTATAGCTTGTCGTGAATATTTTGTGTTTGAAAATTTCTGGTCTCATGGAGCCGGCCAAGCCAAGCTTGAGTTGAGGCAAACTCACTGGCCTAAACATCTTACCTGAGGGATCCATCCATTTTCTCTGGACAGTTACAAGAGACTATGTATTGGTATGTATTGAATGTTACTTTATGGAAAGTTATGCCAATATTAATGTTCAAACTTTTTTGGTTGGTTATGTGTTTGAAAGCTTTTTTTGTCAGTGCTGGAGATTAAACCTTGAGCATGCCAGACAAGTCGTCTAACCGTGAGCTGATGGGGGAAGTTCTTCTGTGTATATGTTGTCCAATGGGTTGATGAATAAAACACTCTTGGCCAATAGGGAAGCAAGATAGGTGGGACTAGGAGTCAAGGAGGATTCTGGGAAATGTAGTCAAGGTTAGGAGTCGCCATGTGATCTCCCAGGAGGAAAGGACTCTTCAGGAGGGCGTCCTCAGAAAGATAAGTCCTTATAGAAATATATATTAGTAATTATGGGTTAATAATTAAGTCAGAGCTAGTCATTAAGAAATCATAGCAAATGGCCAACAGAATTATAATTAATATAGTATTTCATGTGTTATTTGGGGGTTGAGACAGCTGTGGGACCCAGGCAGCTGGCGGGAAGACAATTACACTGAGCCCTACTCCACCCTTTGTTAAGTTTTTAAGCATAAGGATGACAGTCAAGTTGGAAATTCATTAAGTGTTTCTGTCATATTTTTTCTTTAAAGGACATTTCTTTCTCTCTTCTTTCTTTGATTTTAAGAGACAACGTCTTTCTATATTTTCTTTCTAATCTCCATTTCCATAAACCACTGTTACAATGCCGAACAAGAAGCAAGATTGGGGGTGGAGAGCGGGTTTGGCAGTTAAGAGCCATTACTATTTTGCAGAGTTCAGTTCCCATCACCCATGCCGGGGGGGGGGTCTCACAACCATGTACAGCTCCAGCTCAGGGAAATATGACATCCTCTTCCTGCTCTGAGGGCTCGCATGCACACACACACACACACACACACACACACACACACATACACACACACACACACACACACACTACAGATACAAAATGTTAAAGCTTTTTTCTTTCTTTAGTTTTTAATATCAAACTTTGAAATTACATTTTAAAGTTTTTCTTTTCTCTGAAAGAAAAGGCTTTGTTCTGATAATTCCAGGTACACAGTACTCATTTTTATGTTACACTTAAGAGAGTTTTTCACTGTTTGATATTTAAATGTCAATAATTTGAATATTGCCTGTGTGATTATAGGAAACTGGCTCTATTAGCTAGTTCCTAGAAAGGGAAAGAAAGCTTAGGGAGAAGCCTGGGCATGGGCTGTGAACACAGCCTCTGGGGAGGGCTGGGTCTGCTGAGAGGAGCTGGCAAAGGGGAAGCCGCTTGCTTGGAGTCCAGCACACACATGAGCCCTTGTGTTTTGTACGGACTGGGCATGCAGCAGCCTGATTCAGATTTAAGATGACCTCATCATACCACTGTTTTAATACCCTTCCAGGTCAGCTAGGAGAAAATAGTTCATCCTAATCACTCCCGCCTGTCTTCACAGGCAGATCTGAATATGATGTCTTCAAAAACACTGAATCAAGGGGCTGCAGAGATGACTCACTGGTTAAGGGTGTTTCTGCTCTTGCAGAATGCCCAGGTTCAGTCCCAACACCCATGTTGGGCTGCTTACAACTGCCTGTACCTCCAGCTCCGTGGAACCCGTTGTCTTCTGGCTCTGTGACACCTGCATGCACATGACACACACAAGTGTCAGATGTACACACACACTTTTTAAAATACTAATGTCTCTAAATACCACGGTGCTGGAGATACGGCTCAGCAGAGGAGAGCACTGGCTGCTCTTACAGAGGACTTGGCTTTGGCTCCCAGAGCCCACATGGTGATTGAAAGCCACCTGTAACTCCAGTGCCAGGGCATCTGCTGATACCCTGTTCTGACCTGTGTAGGCACTGTATGCATGTGCACACATTCAGACACACACAGAGACACAGACCAAGGCAAGTTAATTAAAATTAAAGGTATAATTAAGAACCAGTCACTCTGACTAGGCCCCTGTCCCTCCCACCCCCTCATCCCATTCTTGTCCCAGCCCAGCTGCTCTGAGCCCCAGGGAGTTCTCACGTGACACTGTCTGAATGACCTCTTTGGTTCTTAGTGTGTTGTAGTCCACAGCCTGTCAGCAGGCTGCCTGGACTTTTTCCTGTGCAGTGCACAAATGTCCTCAAGGATGCGCTGGGCTGGGTGTTGATGTGTGGATTCTTCTCTCAAGTCTGTGAATGATTTGTGCTGAATGAATCGAGATCTGTCATGTCTCACGGATGGCTGACTTTAGGTAGGAGACCAAGATACTGTGGGTGTGGATCAGCTTTACAAAGAGCTGCGTGGAGGGACACGGATGAGTAAAGCAGGGAGTTCACAGACGCTCGCACAGTGGCCATGTCTGAACTTAACCTTAGAGAGGATGCCAATCCCAAGATGATCTCTTAGGTGAAGGGGCAGTAAGGGGGACACTGAGCTGCTGGGTGACTGTCAGGAGCCTCAGCTGACAGGTGGAGTCTTCACACTGCACACAGGACAGAGTTGGCACCCACACAGAATGCCAGTGGAGGTGTGCTAAGGCCCCCAAGCACTGAAAACATGCACCTGCTTGTGCCGTGGTTAAATGGCAGTCTTTGGTAACCCGTGTCTCAATTCTTCTTTCCACTGTAGACAGCATTCGTGGTTACTTTGGAGAGACAATTGCTCTGTACTTTGGGTTCTTGGAGTATTTCACCTTTGCCTTAATCCCCATGGCCATCATCGGGCTGCCCTACTACCTGTTTGTGTGGGAAGACTACGACAAGTATGTCATATTAGCCTCATTCAACCTCATCTGGTCCACGGTGATCCTGGAGGTGTGGAAGCGTGGCTGTGCCAACATGACCTACCGCTGGGGGACACTGGTCATGAAGAGGCAGTTTGAGGAGCCCCGACCAGGGTTTCATGGGGTCCTGGGCATCAATCCCGTCACGGGCAGGGAGGAGCCCCTCTACTCCAGCTACAAGAGACAACTGCGCATCTACCTGGTCTCCCTGCCGTTTGTGTGCCTCTGCCTCTACTTCTCCCTCTACATCATGATGATCTACTTTGACCTGGAGGTCTGGGCCCTGCGTCTCCACGAGGACAGTGAGTCTGTGTGGACCAGCCTCCTGCTGTATGTGCCCAGTATCATTTACGCCATTGTGATCGAGATCATGAACCGCCTTTATCGATACGCCGCTGAGTTCCTGACATCCTGGGGTAAGCCTCCACAAGATGTTTGCCCTTAAGAAGTACTGCTTGAGGTCCATGGTCAAGAGAGATGGCTCCTGCCCTCAAGTCTGAGGACCTGAGGTTTACTCCTGAGACCTAAATAGTTGAAGGAGAGAACCAGCTCTGACCTATGCACACACACCTGCCCCCCCCCCACAGAGTGGAGCTCATGTACCCACACGTGTGCACATACACACACATACCCAACACTTTCACACACCACACAACAAAAATTTTTAAAAAGTTACTAAGATTCTTGGGCTCCCATGGCTGCTGCCTTCCAGAGTAGATAGCTGTCCTCTAGGCTTGCTATCAAGACCTGGGACACAGCTCACCATCCCTGTGACCTCTACTGATCTCCATATTGTGGCTGCTGTAGTGCTCACTTATGCAGCATAACATTCTAGGTTCTGGGTGCCCCACTGAGCACTGCTCCAGTGTCTCATTTTCACCTTTGGGCACCATGAATTAGCAGCTCCCCCACTCTCTTGTGGACAGGATGTGTAGTGATGTTTACCAATACCATATAGTCAGGGTGGTTCAATACCATAGCATTGTGTTCTGTGCTGAGGGTAAAATACGTAGACAGTGTCTTGGGGGAACTGAGGTTTGTGTCCTACTGTTGTTGAGGACAGCCCAAGGGTGGTTGCTCATGCATGCATCTGTGGAAGGAAGAACCTGGGTAGAGTTTAAAGTAGAGTTCATAGGTCGCTCAGTATTTATCCATTCACACAAATAGGTTGTGTTATCCTGTGGGAAGAAGTCTGGGCCTTTACTTCATGGATGGAGAATTTGAAGTCTTCATTTGTTCTGTAGTAGCAGCAGCCAGTTTGCGGAGGGCTTTCTTTGTGCTAGGTCTTTTTTTTGTTTTGTTTTGTTTTGTTTTGTTTTGTTTTGTTTTTTCGAGGCAGGGTTTCCCTGTGGCTTTGGAGGCTGTCCTGGAACTCGCTTGGTAGACCAGGCTGGTCTTGAACTCACAGTGATCCGCCTGCCTCGGCCTCCCAAGTGCTGGGATTAAAGGCGTGCGCCACCAACGCCCGGCCTGTGCTAGGTCTTATGTTGTGGTTTCCACAACCACCCGGGCAGAGGCCAGCAGTCCTTACAGCAGGGCAGGAGGCTGAGGAGCACAGGTAGCATGGATGGCCTGAGGTCAGGTAGTGTGCACCAGTGTGGACCAGTCCTTACTGCAGGGGCCCGCATAATGCTTTCTGCTCCTGCTGTCTTGGGGCCACTGTACTGTGTTCCCACTTCTAGATGAGGCTAGATCTGAATTCTCTTGAAGCTAGTCCTTGTTCAACTGTGTTGCATTCCTCTTTAACCATTTTATTATTACAGTGTATAGATTCTCCTCTGGGGTGGCTGGGTATAGGTGCATTTGCCGACACTTCCCAGATTTATTTTTTCCATATTTAGAAAAAAAGTCACTCCCAACCACAGTGCTATTGCAGTGGTTGAGAACACGCTCTTGTTGGCATTCTCGGTAGCAAGGGTGTCTGTGCCTAACACCTGAGATGTCCGGGGACTTGTGGTGCTGGCTGCCTCTGCTCTGAGCGCGGTCCCCCTGGGGTCCCCATGACTCTCACCTGCATCGCTTCTTGTCTCAGAGATGTCTCCTCTCTCTCTTAATACCGTAGAGAACCACAGACTGGAGTCTGCCTACCAGAATCACCTTGTTCTGAAAGTGTTGGTGGTAAGTGTCATGTTCTGTGCTGAGGCAGTGCCTCTTGGTCGGCGCCTCCCTGCTGCCTCCTGGTGTGGGGTGAGAGCTCAAGCCTGTGGACACAAAGCAGAGGGGGTCTTTTCTGCTGTGACTGCCTGGATCCCAGCATCTCGGTGGGGCAGGCAGCCTCAGGCTCCATGGAGGGAAAGGAGATCCCGTCCCTTGCACGTGCTGCTGGCCTAGGGGGATTCTTAGTACAAATGGTCTCTACTCCTAACAGCAAGGAGCCTGACTGTCCATATGTGGGACAGGACGCCAGGCCCTGTGTCCCCCCGGGTGGGGACCATAAGATGTGTGGTATCTGAGCCGTTCCTCCTCCTGTTGGTTCCTGCCCCAGCTCTGAGTTTCGCATCTCCACTGGCTTCCAGAGTTGATAGCTGAGTTCAGGCCTGAGAGGAAGGGGAAGCAGTCCCAAGCCCCTGTGTGCAGCCGTGGTCCCTCAGTGTAAGGGGGACTCACAGCTGTGGTGCGGGGCTGTTAACACCGTCTTCTTCTTGGCAGTTCAACTTCCTGAATTGTTTTGCTTCGCTCTTCTACATCGCCTTCGTCCTGAAGGACATGAAGCTTTTGCGCCAGGTGAGTGAGCCAGTGGGACCCAGGGGGAGCCCCAGGTGGTCTCCTGCCCTAGAACTGAGAGTGCTGTGTGCCTTCTCTTGGTCTGTTTCCATCCCCCTCAAATACTAAGCATTAGCACCCACAGTGAATCATGCTCAATGGAGAAAAGTTAGCTAACGTGAATTCTCTTACAAAATGAGTCATGTGGGGCTGCCAAGCTGGCCCCGCTCACCAAGGCACAGGTGTCCACAGCCTGTGACTTGTGGGCAGCTGGGATAATCTTTAACAGGTCTTGCAAATTTCATTTTTTCTTTAGTAACATGTTACACTTGAGAGACTAGCAAGTCCTATGTGGTGCTGTTTCATGTCTGAAATGCTGGAGAAAGTCCTGCCTGCATGGTGGTACCATCATTTCTGGATCATATAAAACCAGTGGCCAATAAACTGAATTCAGAGTATTAATTTCTTTTCTCTTAAATTATTTTATGTGATGGGTATCTTGCCCACATGTATCAAGTATCTGAAGAGGCATCAGATCCCATTTAACTGGAGCTACAGATGATTGTGAGCTAACATGTGGGTGCTGGGAATCGAAACCTCATTCGCTGGGAGAACAGCCAGTGCTCTTAACCATTGAGCCATCTCTCCACTCCTTCAAAGTACTGATTTCTTGGGTGTGCGCATGTGCGTGTGCACAGATCTCTTGTGTGTGTGCACAGAGGTAAGGCTGATGCTGGGTGTCTTTCTTGGTTACTCTCCACTTTATTTTTTGAGACAGGGTCTCTCACTAAACCTGGTCTGGCTGCCCAGAGTCTGCCTTCCCAGTCCTGGGGTGCAGGCACTAACTGTTGTCACGCCCCTCTCTTTACATGGTACTGTAAAGGAACTCAGGTCCTCATGCTCACACAGTAGGCACTTCACTGAATCATCTCCTGCCCCAACCTGGCAGTGCCATTTTATAGTAACATGCTATAAAATATATAATATAGTAAGTAAAATATACAATATAGTAGGATGATGAGATCACAGTCACAATGTCAGGTTAACTTACTCTCTGAAGGACAGAGTCCTTCACACACACACACACACACACACACACACACACACACACACACACACCGTACCATGTAGAGTCCTGAGTGGGGCTGGAACTCATGTAGATCAAGCCTGCCTCTGGAGTGCTGGGAGTTTCCCCACCACACTCAGCCCAGCTAATTTCTTCTGATATTACTCATGATCACAGCTTTCTAACGCTGTTGTGACATCACAGGACTGCATTTCGAGCACTGAAGGACCATGTGTGCTGTGGCTTTGTCTCCATGATGTTTATGTGTCCCCTCAGAGCTTGGCCACACTCCTGATCACCTCCCAGATCCTGAACCAAGTCGTAGAATCCCTTCTTCCTTACTGGCTCCAGCGGAAGTACTGCGCGAAGGTGAAGAGGAAGGTGCAGGCGTTAAAGGCGGATGTTGATACCACCCTGTATGAGAAAGTCCTCCTGGAGAAGGAAATGGGAACTTACCTGGTGAGTTACACTGCAGTGAATGTGTGTAACAGTCACACAAGTTCACGAGTGTGTGCTGTGTGCTGACTGTCTCCGTGTCTCGCCGTTAGAGCTCTCCAGTGGGTTCCCTCCACAGGAGCCACTTTGGCGCCAGAAGGAGTGAACTATGCATTAAGATGACTCTGTCCTGATTCTTTAGCACTAGAGGAATTTCCCACCCTCGGGTGGCTGCTTCACAGAGAGGGGTACAGGGATGTGTGCTCCAGGGTGACAGTACACAGGGGAGATGGTCCCTGAGGTGGCTCTCCCAGGACTGCTGGAATGTCAGATGACTGCTATTGTAACTGTAAGACCAATCCTTTAAAGACGGTTATTAATTTATTTGTTGTGGAGAGAGCGTGTGCACATGGAAGTCAGTGGGTCTCGGCTGGCTCCTCTCTGTTGAGGCAGTGTCTGTGTCCTCTGCTCTGCAGACACCAGGTTAGCTGAGAGCTTCGAGTCTCCATCTCTGTGTCCTGCCTCAGGGTGTGAGTGCTGGAGCTGCAGATGCAGTCGTGGCCCCTGCTTTTGTGTGGGGATTGAGCAGGCCATAGAGCTGAGCCACTTCTCTGCCCCAACACATTTGTTTTGAGGAAATGCACATTGACTATTAAAGGTTTGGTTGCTTGTAATAAAAAAATTCTTACCTGCTGATGATCTCCAAACCAAATTTATCTTCCAGGTCTCTCTGCTGCTTTTCCTATGCTCACCGTGTACTGTGCAGACCCTTCTCTCTCTCTCTGTCTCTCTGTCTCTGTCTCTCTGTCTCTGTCTCTGTCTCTCTGTCTCTGTCTCTCTCTGTCTCTCTGTCTCTGTCTCTGTCTCTGTCTCTCTCTCTCTCTCTCTCTCTTGTCTCATCTGAGAATGGCTGCCACTGAGGGGATTCTGTCAGAATCTTAGCTCTGATCTCTCCAGTACTCTCATGTCTTCTTCCTTTACGGAGCATGATAGGGGCTTCAGCGTGACCACAGTCCCCTCTCGTGTGTGATAGCACAGCTCTGGAGGTATTCTGAGCAGTAGACAGTGCAGTTGTTATTGGTCAGTGACAAATCAGGAAGGGGCTTCTAGACTCCATTTCCCTGGTCCAGAGTCTGTGTTGTGAGAGTGAGCATTTTTCTCATGGGTGAATGCTGTGCTAACACAGTCCAGCCACTTTGTCCTCCTCATGCAGTGTCTCTGTTCAGTCTCCACTGAGGTGACCCCGGGCGGGCTTCTAACTGTCTGCGGGCTGGGAAGGGCAGATGCACAGCCGTCAATTCTCCAGATGCTCTCTGAAGCCCCGCCCTCTCTGGGCCTTTGCTCCTCACTGAAGTCAGAGGTCTTGGACTGCAGGATCCCTGGCTGCACGCATGAGTCTGAAATGCTGTCACCAAACTTTGGAGGAAGGCAGTTTGTCAGATTCTGAAACTATTGTGAAACAGGGCTTTCCCCTTCTCTATAGAACCCTGAGAAACGATAGACAGAGGCGGTGGGGAAAATGAAGTCTGCGTCCTCAGCAAGGGCGGCCCCTGGGTGCTCAGAGCTTCACCGACCCCTGCTGTCCCTCTCGCACCTGCTGCTTCGTGTCTGTGCATCTGTAGGGATTTCACTGTCACTAAGAGGTGTGCCAGGGTTGTGCCTAGAGGTCTCTCTTACGCTTAGCCTTTGAGATGAGGCTTTGGGAGAGCACCAGCAGCTCTCTGTTCCTTCCCTTCCGATAACGACGCAAGCTATTCTACCTCGTGCCAGTGCATGACTGAGTAGGGGGGCAAAATAAAGCTAAAATGCCACAAAATTTGTTTTTCTCTTAGCTAAATGCTGTCGGCCTACAGTTGGATTCCAGGGAAGTGCCACAGCAAAAGCTGAGCGTGGCAAACCTTTGCTGCTCCTGTGGAGAGTTGCTACGATTTCACTCCTGTCACCTGGCTTCTTAATCTCCTATTAACTTCATTGTGTGTGCATGCGTGCACTTATTTGGAGGCCTGAGGACACCTGGTTGGTCCTCTCCTTCCACCATATGAGTCTTGGGATCAAACACAGGTCTTCAGGCCTGGCAGTGGTCTCCATACCCAGTGGAGCATTTTCCCATTCAAGTTCAGGGCATCCTGGGTGCCTGTGGATAAGGAGGCCGTCCTCCCCCACAGTGTTTCCCTGTGTAGCCCTGGCTGTCCTGGAACTTATTCTGTTGCCCAGGGCTGGTCTTGAACTTACAGAGATTCACCTGCCTCTGCCTCCTGAGTTCTGGGTTAAAGGTGTGTGCCACCACACTGGCTGTCAAGGTTCTCTCTTAACTGGATCATGAAGAGCAGCCATGTTTAGGTTTTCTGTTGTTTGCCTTGTGGTGGTGGGAGGCGGTATCAGCTCAATGATTTGTATATGAGGAAAACAGGCAACTAAGTAATTTTTGATTCTTATTTCAGCAACTTAGTGCAAAATCATCTTTAAATTTGTATGAATGTGTGGTTGAGAAGGAAGGATTGGAGTAGACCCTGAGTTTTAGCAGATAAAGACTGTGTTTTACAAGCATGGGAGATCTCTGCATGACACTGAACACTGCCTTCTGTCTGTACTGCAGGGAACCTTCGATGATTACTTGGAGTTGTTCTTGCAGTTTGGATATGTGAGCCTTTTCTCCTGCGTTTACCCGTTAGCAGCTGCCTTTGCTGTGTTAAACAACTTCACGGAAGTCAACTCAGATGCCTTGAAAATGTGCAGGGTCTTCAAACGACCTTTTGCAGAACCTTCAGCCAGTATTGGTGTATGGCAGGTAACTACATGAAGAGCAATGTAAAAGCTAGTAGCCATTGTTGGGGCAAAGAAAAACTCTGAAAGCATAAAATATATAAAACCCAGAGCACCCCTAAAAGTTACTAGGAAATAAGCTCAAGATTATTATCGATAAGAAAAGCAAACACTAAAAACAGGGATCAGATAGAAAACAAATGTCCGACTTAAGTCCCAACATACCAACAATTACACTAACTATAAATGGCCTAAAGATACAGATAAAAGACAGAGATTGGCAGAATGGATGAGAATGTGATCAGATATGCATTGTTTATCAGAAGCAATTCATAAAGGGCAATATAGACAGGTGAAAGTCAAAGGAAAAATAAGGAAATATCACTGAAAAGAAAAGAGGGGAAGTGCTAGCAGAGGTAGCTATGATACTCTCTGATACAGGATACTTCTGAGTCAAAGGTTACCAGAGAGGAGCAGTCTGCCATGAGAAGGGGGACAAATTCTTAGAAAAACATCAAACTGAAATGTATATGTATCAAACAACAGTTTTAAAAGGGGAAGAGAGGGAGGGAGAGAGAGAGAACTTGAACAGAAAGGTGAACTAGAGAAGGCTCAGCCTGGTCCACAAAATGTGTTCCAGGACAGCCATGGTTGTTTACACAGAGAAACTATCTCAGGTAATAATGCTCACGCCATCACACGGTGGAGCAGTGCATGCAGACAGATGGGCACAAGTCAGGCTGAGATGGGTGCATCGTGCCTGTTTCCACCCTGCCTGTGGCATCGCACTGTAGTTTCCAGACGGTTCCTATATGAGAATGACGTAAAGATGAGTGGGACTTACGTGAAGATACACATGAACTTACGCATGAACTTAGACACCTCATGAAGATATGATTTCATTAAGTACAGCCTACAGACCAGTTTTACTGAAAATACCAAGTGACATAAGGCCAAACAATTCAAATAATACCAGTAGGTAAAGGATGTGTAAAATCACCTTTAGCGTTCAATAAATAGGATTAGAATTACTTACTATCTAAACCAATCAGAAGGGTAAGGACTATAAACATAAAGCAGAAGGGACAGAGAAAACTCTTTGGAGAAAATACGGTCTCAGAATCGTGTCCTTGGGAAAACCCAGAGAATCACCTGAAAAATTGCCACAGGTAACAAGAAAACACAGTGACTCACATAATTACTCTACGGGACAAAGCAGCTACTTTATGCACCCTTGGCCATTGGAGGCAGAGGTACAGTCCTTGTGCTTGTTAGGAGTGGCTTCAGTTACCAGGTGGAGCCACCAAGAGCTTTACAGTAACAGGAAGGAGAGCGTAGAGGTTTCCCACCATCACCCAGTGACACACCATGGGACCCATGGACCTCCTCGTGGGACCCAATCAGTGTTCTGCAAGTCACAGGGATGTCTAGCTTCTTTTTTTGCTGACACTCTTCAGGGACCTTGGTTCATGTCCTCAGGAAGGGACCATGGCTATATCTAAGCCAAGTGCCTTATCAAAGTAGGACAGACCTGTAAAATTGCTGCTCTTAAGGACGTTGCCTGGTTGGGGTGGGAGCACTTTTCTGTGATGGCCTCTAAATTCCCCTCATAAGCAAGCAGAGAGGAGTGACACAAACCATGCTGCAGGGGCACACACTCAAAGCCAGGCCATCCTCAGGTGGGAAGGCCAAGCACACTACTCAGTGCACAAGCCAAAGGAATCTAAGATGCCTACTACTCAGTACACAAGCCAAAGGAATCTAAGATGCCCACTACTCAGTGCACAAGCCAAAGGAATCTAAGATGCCCACTGACGACGGGTCAGCTTTCTTAAGAGCGCTAAGATGTTTGTGGATTGCGGAGATCCTAGGGAAGGGTTTTCCCTTGGGGGTCCAGATAACACGAACACGGGACATGGCTGTTGCCGCCATTAATGCCACACCTTTTTCCCTTTCAGCTGGCTTTTGAAACGATGAGTGTTATATCTGTGGTCACTAACTGCGCTCTGATTGGAATGTCACCACAAGTGAACGCAGTCTTTCCAGAATCCAAAACAGACCTGGTTTTGATCGTGGTGGCTGTGGAGGTGAGTGAAGGTGTTCATCCCCACGATGGGCCTCTGCTGTCCTCCTGCGGAGCTGCAGCTGCAGTCCGGGTGACACGCATGCCTGAGTGGTGAGAAGGCAAATCCTGTCAGGACAGCAGACTGGAGAGCGCAGGCTGTGCACTGCTACTTCCTGCTAAGCTCACAGGGGAGGCCTCCCTGACACTGCCAGGTTCATGCATTGGAATAGACGTCTGTGGGCTTAACCTGTGCTTTTAGCTTGTTCTAGGAAAATGTCCCTTCTGTTTTCTTAAGCAAACTCTAAGAAACTCTTGTGGGTGTAAGTGTTACAGCTCTGAGGGGAAAGGCTTCCCCAATGGAAGTGTTACAGTTGAGAAGAGAAAGGTATACCAGCAGTAAGGATCCAAGGGATACCACAAAGTCACACCACACAGCAAACCTCACACAAGCGATTTATTGGGAGAGAAAAACCCAGGATGGTGAGAGTTTTGGTGTGTGTGTGTGTGTGTGTGTGTGTGTGTGTGTGTGTGTGTGCGTTTCTAGATTGACCTAGTATTAGAGGGATTCTGTGACCTGATCCTGTGTCTTTTTCTCCTCTTTCTATAGGGTGGGGCCTAGCCACTCTCCTACCTTGAGGGGTTGAAGTCTGGGGATGGAGCTGAGCCATTGGAGCTCCTTAGGCCTGAGCCTCAAGGGGTTGGGTCTGGCTACCTGAGTAGTCTAGGGGAGAAGCCTGTTGGCAGGAGGTCTCTAGGGGGCGGGGCTTACAATGAGTGTCTTTGAGCTCAGCAGGGAAAACTGTGTTCCCTCCACCCTCGCTGGCATGAATAGCCAACAGTTGGTGCTTTCTGCCTGGTTCTCTGCAGCTATATTCACTATAAAACACTCAGGCTCTGTGCTAATTTGTACACAGGCACATAGTCTCACACGGAAGCCACAGACACTCTGCCCACATGTGTGTGTCTCACTTTTCTGTTTATTGTGTTTCAAAACATGCATTCCCACCATGTCTGGAAAATTAGGCAAGGATCAAACATGAGCAGGAAATCCTCAGCTGCCTCCACTGCTGGTAATTTTCAACACCAATGAACACTGTGCCCTTTTGTACCTAGTTAAAAATGTCAGGCGTTGGTGGCGCAAGCCTTTAATCCCAGCACTCAGGAGGCAGAGGCAGGTGGTTCTCTGAGTTCTAGGCCAGTCTGGTCTACAGAGCAAGTTCCAGGACAGCCTCAAAAACAATACAGAGAAACCTTGTCTCGAAAAACCAAAAAGAAAAAAAAAAAGACATACTTGTGGAACTGTATAGAGACAGAACTTGGTAAGACTGATGAGTAGCATGTCATACAACCAAGGTTTCTGGATTCAGGGCTGACAAGTAAATGAAGTTGTGACCTTGTCTTAGGGTTTCTGTTGCTGTGAAGAGAAACCATGGCCACAGTGACTCTTAGAAAGGAAAACATTTAATTGGACTGGCTTCCACACAGAGGTTCAGTTCATGTCAGCATGGTGGGAGCATGGCAGTGTGCAGACACACATAGTTCTGTGCACACAGACATGGTGCTGGAAGCATCTCGATCAGAAGGCAACAGGAAGTGAACTGAGGCGCACTGGGCATGATTTGGGCACATATGAGACCTCAAAGCCCACCCCTACAGTGACATGCTTTCCCCAACAAAGTAGTGTCTACAACAGAGTCACAGCTCCTCCTAGTGTCAGTCCCTGAGAGCTTATTGGGGCCCATTACATTCTAACTACCACAGACCTTGCATGTCCCATTGCAGGCTGAAGGTCCATGCTGCTGGGTGGATGCCACACACACTGCATTTGGGAGAATGATTTTTTAGACACCAATGAGTAGGAGAGGAGAAGGATGGCCCTGGCGGGTGCCAGTATGTCTGTTGAATTTGGGGAGTAGAACAGGGCTTTGGAGAGCCATTTGCAGTGTTTATACCTGTAGAAGAGAGGGTAAGGGGAAAGGCCTGAAGGCTGCATGCGTTTATAGAGGTCATTCATCAGGGCCTATGGGAGCCTGGAGGCGCAAGCCATGCTCTGCAGCTTCACAGCTTGGTTTTGTTACTCAGTCCAGAGTTAGACAGGCGTTGGGAACTGACTTAAAACCAAGGCACAGCAGAGGCTGGCTTGAGTGCTGGATGGCAATTTCCCAGGGTCTGCTATCCTCAGAGCCAAGGGCTGGCTGTCAGGTGGCTCCTTGGTGAGAGCTGAGGAATAGCAAGGAGGTGTGGCCATCCCGAGAGACTGGAAGCCTGATGGAAGCTCTGTCCACACAGATCCGTTCTGAGCTAGAGCAGGTGATTGCAGAGGTCGTTCTCCAGGGCTCCGCTGGTGATGCACTGATTTAGTGCACTGGCCAGCCTGCTGCTTCCCTCTGTGTTTGAGGCTTTAATGGGGCCCAGGGCCGGCTGCTTCTGCCTGGATCCAGGTTCTGTTGACGAGGCCGACTGTGGGAGTCCCTGCGGTGGTGGATAAGTCGAGTAGTTCTGTGTCAGTAAAAAAGAACCTAACTTCGGATAAAAATGTTAAAATGACCTTATAACAATAGAAAGTAAGTTACTCAATTTTACTCCAGCATTACCCGGGACCTCAGCTGAATGCCATGTGGCCTTGCGATTAGGGAAAAAAAAAATCAGAGCATTAGAAATAAATTAGAAAACATAAATTCTGGGTGCGTGGTTTAGAAGGAAACTGAGTCGATGGGCATGTTAGCTCAGCTGTGCCAACCACCGTGTGTGGTTCACATTGACCCTCAAGTGCGGACAGCTTTTATTTGTCAGTTCTAGTCAATAAAGACACATCACTGGGTCAAACTTTTTAAAATAAGATTTTTCTCATAAATCTTAAACATTTTAAAGAAAGGAAACGAAGTCTTAAATTTTCCATGAAGTAAAATAATTTATTTATATCATTCCTTGTTTCCCTTGGAGTCTAGATAGTTTTCATGTTTGTTGAAGATTTTGTCACTGTGCGGTTCTTTGGGACAGGGCCTCCTCATGTAGCTCAGGCTGGCCTCAAAGTGTCCATGTAGCTGTGGGGCTGTGACTCCTTCTCCTCTACCTCAGGTACTGGGTTTCAAGGGCTCCACCGTGCCCAGCGTTTATCAGTTTTTAGAAACATCTTTGTCACAGATAATAGCATATTGTACTTTAGCATATTTATTCATGGTTTCTTAGTAAAAATTTTGCTAATTCATAAAGTCACAGTAAATTACAAAAATTCATAAATTATTTTTTAAATGAAATTTTAACATTGGTGGAAAACCAATTTAAAATGTTACATTTCTCTCCATACTCGTTAACATCTAAGTGTATTTATATGGTTAAGATTCCTCAGAGCAGAGACCTTGTAGAAAACAGTCTGGGTTTATATGTGGGCTGTGTCTGTGTTCTCATGACCTGAAATTTGCAACACCAGATGACTTGTGTGGATTTTGCATCTTTTTGGTGCCTTCATTTCTTCCCCCTGAGAGTTGGGTTTACTGTAGCCTCCAGATGGAGTAAGGGCAGAAATTGGGCCCCACTGTGGCATTTGTGTTTGCTGCCATCTAGCGCTGCCTTGAGAAACGTGGCCCCTGACACGGCCTTGCAATATAGAGACTAATTGGGAATGGACAAGAGACTGAGCATGCCGGGAGAGCACACCGACTGTGCCGTTTTTATGGCTTAAAAGTTGGATGTTAAAAACGCCATGAAGTTCGGCCCACAGATCAAATCAGCATCCAACCTTTCCCCTCAGAAGCTTCCTCACTTCTGAGACATCCCCTCGGTCTCTGATGTCATCCCCAGCAGAGGGCCACGTCTGCGTGTGCAAAATCACAGTGAAAGCGCCATTCATGACAATAGCACGGGGCCACAGTGCAAACATCCAGCGTGTGCTGAATGCTAACCGTTTCCCCTGTATCCCGCGGGTTTCCCCTAAGTCGGAAGTAAGCCGCCTACTCACGCTGGGAGCACACCTGCATTCCTGGTTTTTAGGTTCTAGTGACCAGTGAGTCTGTTGTCTCGGTTCATGTTTAATTACTGGTTTGAAAAATAACCCTTAAAGGCCGTTTCTTTTGGGTGTGGGGTGAGTAAGTTAATAGGATGTACGCCCCCCCTACTGGTTAGAAACGGAACTGTCGCGTCTCAGTGTAGGCCATCTGAGAGTGCGTGGGGCTCTCAGGACTTATTTTCCTAGTTTCAGACATAAAAATTATAAGCTCAGTGCAGATAATTGCTCTTAACATTATACCAGGATTTACTTACTTTAAAACGTTCTTGAGTGTGTTCTCCCTCTCTGGAGTGGAGTGGCCTGATGTAACAGATTGATACTGTGGTTACCGCGGAGTTTGTCCCTGCTCTTCCCCTTGGCCCGCTCACCCCGTCCTCAGCTGCAGGCCCTGCAGGAGCACTCTGGGAAATAGCCCCCAAGTGTCAGGGGTGAGCAGGGCTTGCTGCCAAAGCTGAGGTCTGAGTGAGGCTGCTTGTGGGAGACAGCAAGCGTAGAACCGGGCTCGTCACGGGACACGTGGTGTGATCCCGACCGTCTCGGGACACATGGTGTCTGGTCAGTGCTCCTTGAAGATCTTGCCACTTCCGTGCCATTATTTCTTCTGAAGGTCGTCACGGTCAAGACGTCAGAGTTAGAGTGAAGCTGAGGGAGAATCAGTTTCCCCTCAGTCTCTGAGTGAGTTCCAGTCCTCCGGGTGAGGTTGGAACTTGGTGATGTACGGAAGTGGCGGGCTCTGTGCCTGGTCCACAACAGGAAGCTGGCGGCCTCATCTTTTAGCAGTTAGTGCACTGGCCCATGGATGGGTCTCCACAGGCGACACTCGCCTGGTTTCCAGTGTCACAGCCTACTCCTCACAGCAGCTGCCCACTCCTCCTCTCCTCCTGGGTTTGTTTCCACACCTCAGTCCAACCCTCCCCCACCCCCACACCCTACTCCCCCACCCCCACGCCCTAACCCTCCACCAGCCCCACTGCTGACTCTTCCGTCTCGGCACTGGTGTGGCCTGAGCCCAGGTTCCCGCCTCTCTCACCTACTCTTTGCTGAGTGTGTATAATTCGCGGATCACGTGACTCTTTAAAGTGTGCAGTCCAGTGTTCTTCCCTGGGCTCTTACAACAAGCCCTGACTAGGCTGTAGCTCTCATGCTGTCTCTTCTTTGACTGTAGTAATAGTTAACTTTATTGTCACCTCGACAGGACAGGAAGAAGCCTGGACTTGGTGACACATGTCCTGGGTGTGTGTCTCTGGACAGGACGAGGTCAGGAGGCCCTGGCGCGAAGAGCAGATTTGCAGTGTTTTAGCATCATTGGGGGTGGTGAAAGGAGGAGATGAGGCCAACTTCGTGCAAGGAGTTGCACCCTGCCTGGGCCCTGCCTGGGCAATGGCTGTTGTAGCTTCTTCCTGTGTTGTATGACCCTTTCTCTGCTTCCTGCTCACCAAGAAGTGGAGAATGGCTTCTACTTTGTGTTCCTGCTGCCGAGATGCTCTCCCCCAGCTCATGGACTCAGGAGCCATGAACTGAACCCTCCAAACCATGAGCCAAAGCAAATCCTCCTCCCTTACCCATGTGCATCAAGCATGGCATCACAGCCTTGAGAAAGGTGACAACACACCCAGGCCGTGTGCTCTTGGTGCCGTGTCAGGCATCATTCTGACTGCGTTCACCTTCTGTGACAGGAAAGGCGCCCAGTGATGACCTCATCCCCTAGATGGCCCTGATTGCCATCCCCTCTGAAGGGTGAAGTACAGGCTCCCCAGCTTTTGGAAGTGGTTGTGATGTAGGCTCTGTGGATAGCGTCTGCTTGCTAAGTGCTTATGAAGAGAGATTCCCTCCAAATTTGTTTGTGTATGGCATTCTTGTTACTATAATTGATGCAATTTAATTAAATGAAATGAAAACTGACGAAAAGCGCGTGCTAAGGCAGACCTATCGCTTCTGTGAAAACCTTTGGAGACTCCACGGAGACAAATTGCTGTCAGACAGGGTAAGGAGGAGGCATTTAAAAGTGACAGGGGAAATTGTAAATATCTGGGCGTGTTCCAAATACAGTTTTTACCCTGCTTCTCAAGTGTCTTCAGGTTTTCACTCTTCAGAGGAAACAAACCTTGAAAACAGTCGTTGTCCTGGGGTGTGGTGGTTAATTTTGACTGTCAACCGGCTGAGGAGGGCCTTCCCCAAGTGTGTCTGCCGCCATCATGGGCCGGTGGCCACTACAGAGCCATTCCTCTCTGCTTTCTGACTGCAGAGAGCACGTGACCAGCTCCCGTTTGCTCCTGCACTGTGTGTGTCTCCCCACCCCCTGCCATGCCTCCCCCACCATGTGCCTCCCCCCATGTATTAATGGATGCCTCTCCAAACTGAGCAAAACAAACCCTTCCTTAAGTTGCTTTTCTTGGATATGTTGTCACAACAAGAAAAGTAGCTAACACAGGGGTCGTATTTGTACACAATGGACAGGAAGATACTTCCTCATGCATGTGTCATATAGCTCAGAGGGGATACCCAGTTGTGTGCTTCTCTGAGAAAACTTTGGATTCACTGAGGAATTACTGGTTTCCTGGAATCATGTGAATGGACTTCCTGGGGACTGCTGAATTAGAGGGAGGGCTGACCTTTGTCCTGTCAGTGAGTGGCAGAGTCTGCTTTGTTGAAGATCCAGAGACCTTGAAATTTAGGGTCAGTGCACGCTCTGTTTAGGTATGATTTTGATGACAACCGTTTTACAGATTATTTTGCAGTTTTTAAGGTATCATGGTGGTTAACCTATGTCTTGCCCTAAAATACAGGCAAAGGAAGGCCACCCGCTGTGGAGGCGATGCTTCTCCAGTCACAGTAGCATTGGTTGAGAGAATACTAAGGTGGGGTGAATCAGGAAGCCGTGAGTGGCAGGGCGCTGGATGGACCTGCAGAGAGCCAGAGCTTTCGGGCTGCCCAGCCGTGGGCGCTGTCATCGCCTCTCTCAGCCTTCTCTGGCCCCTTTGTCAGCAGGCTCTTTCTCTAGTTGTGACAGGACAGGTGCAGCAGCCGGCCCTCCGCCCTCTGCCCGCCCCCCCCCAACCCCCCGCCACCCAGCCTCCCTTTCAGCATCTCGGAGCTCCAGGCTGCACTTGCCTGTTGCCTTATTCTTGCTTTCTGCATTTTGGGTTTGAGTTTTTTTTTTTTTTTCCTGAGGGTAGAGAACACATTTCAGAAAACTTGAGACCCATGAGAATTTTCTGCCCTTTATAGTAGTGCTGGGGTACTAAAGGCTGTGTGGCTAGAGACACTTTGAGGAGGGCAGGAGTGAGGGAATGGTGATGTCAGAGCCTGGGGGCTCTCCTGAGGTCGGTGAAGGCAGGAGTTAGGGCATAAGGAAGGGGTGGGGTGACCTCACAGCTCTGCTTTTCATTTTCCTTTGTAAATGTGAGCTCAGCACCCCTTCCATGACAAGCTTGATCCTCACCCCTGTGTGCAGCCATGGGAGGTGCAGCCGTGCAGGCTGACAGCCACTGTCTCCCCCCCCCCCCAGCTCTCCCTATGTCTGCTCCCCAGTTCTGCCCCTTCCCTCTTCCTTAGGGCAGGAGACTCCCCTGTCTCCAGCGGCTCCATTTCTGTGGTCTCAGCTCTTGGTCTGGCCTCCCATGCTATTGTTGGCGGAGCTGCTGTGGTAGCTGTTGATAACCAGGAAGGTAGCTGTTGATAACCAGGAAGGTAGCTGTTGATAACCAGGGCTGGCTGCTGTGGTAGCTGTTGATAACCAGGAAGGTAGCTGTTGATAACCAGGGCTGGCTGCTGTGGTAGCCAGTGATAACCAGGACCGGCTCCTGGGAGTCAGGAGCGGTGATTTCCTGCTGAGCCTCCTGCTTTTATGTAACCTGTGGGATTGTATCACGCAGCCCCAGCTGAGATTCTGTTGGAGAGGAGAGAAGAGAACCATGCTTCTTCCCTTTCCAGAAGGGCTGGTGCTTCAGAACCCTTGTCTCAGGGCTTGTTTTGAGGCTTTCATCTCTGTGTAAAATGCTCTTTTAAACCTGTGTTTATCAGGGTCTGGTCAGACACCACTTCAGGAACTCATAGTGGTCCCAGTTACTTTAACACGCTGGCTTTGCTTTGCTGAGCCATGTGTCCTGCTCCTCCAGCTGATCAGTCAGTAGCTTCAGAGGGGCTTTGGTTTCTTTTGTGGTCCCTCAGACACCACAGTGCAGACAGGATCAACCTAGAAGCTAGGGAGAGCGGCAGTGTAAAATGCTGCAGCTGCAGTCTCTCCCTAGTGAATAAAATGCTTTCCCAGGCCGGTGCGGTCAGTGTTATTAGAAAAGAACTACATCTTTCTAATGTTGTTAAACACCACGAGGGGCGAAGTGTTTGAATTTCTAGTTTTACATATATTGGGTAAAAAAAGAATATTTCAACTGCGTGCGTGCGTGCGTGCATGCGTGCGTGTGTGTGTGTGTGTGTGTGTGTGTGTGTGTGTGTGTGTGTGTGTTGTAAGATGGGCTCAAGTTGAGCCTGAAAGTCAAAACTGCCTCCTGGCAGATTGGGCACAGGTGGGTGGTGAGCTGCAGAAGGTAAAGGCCCTGCTGTCCCCATGCTTCCAACCGGCGTGAGAGCCCAAGCGACCACACTCCGGCTTCCATTGCTCTTTCCGCATCGGTGCCTCGCACAGAAGCTAATTGGCACCATCTGTGCTGATAATGAAGTCCATGATGTGGCTGCTCGTGCGAGGCACTCGCTGAAGGAGTTCACCGTCAGGGTGAGAGGGGAGCAGGGAGAGCTATTTTTGTGGATGATCTGTGCTAACCAGCCACACAAAGGGACCTGAAAGAGACCGAGTAGCCAGGGATTGTCCCACGCTGAGAGCGCCGTAAGGGCCTGTGGCCGGGATTGTAGCAGAGCACTCGCATCTGGATTGTCTGCTGTGTGTTAGACTTCCCCTGAGACGACCGTGTCACTGCTCTGCCTGAACGGGTGCCGCCTCTTTGAGTGCTCCTGTCTGGTATGTGTCCACTGCCTCTCTTACCATGGGCTGGCACACAGGCCGGCAATGCTGCCATTTATCACCGTATCCTTGGGTCTCCGGCATGGTTCCTGGACTTGGAGGCTGCTGTGTCTCTCCCATTCCCAACCCTCCTTCAGAGAACTCACATCATGGTTGGGAGTGTTATCTACATTGCAACTACATTCACACATACACACCCCCACCCCCTGCCCCCACCCACACACACATGAACATAACAGAGGGTATCAGCTGGTCATTTTATCCATTGAGAGAAAGGGCCGTTTCTAGGCATTCTTTTTCAATTCTCTTGTCTTCGACATATTTTCACTCTAGTTTTTAGAGAAACTGTGTTCCTAAAAGAAACCCTCTGCATGTATGAACACAGGCACTTGCACACCATAGCACATACGTGGCTGTCAGTTATCACCTGCCTTCTCATTTGAGCCAGGGTGGGGCTTACTGCTGTGTACCCAGGTTAGCTCGTCCACGAGCTAGCTGACCTATCTGCTTGTAGGCGAGCAGGGTCGCAGGTGTGTGCTCCCATGTGTCTTTATCTTTGCTAGGGGATTTGAACACAGGTGCTCACACTTGCACAGCAGTGGGGAGCTTCATTTCCTTGTTTCTCGATATCTGTCTTTTGACACCGCTTCATTTTTATGTTAGTCCACAGCATATGGAAACTAGAGAGGCAGTCCCCGACAGTAGGGTGTTCTCCTTTGTTTAATTTCACGTATGCCATCTTTGAGTAGTAATGCAGTCACATGATTCAGAATTCATAAGGCTCAAACGCTGAGTTTGTCTCTGCTGCAGAGTCCCTGCTGCACACAGCATGTGTGATTGGCTCCCTGTCTGGGCTTTTGTAGTATTTAAAGTACAAATAGCATGCACAGTTAATCATGATGATTGGAGAGTGGGCTGTAGTGGGTTTGCTTTATACTTAATTGTCTAGAACACATGATAATCTTACATGTCAGCTGACCCTATGCTGTCAATCATTAGAACGTGGTGTACAAAGCAGTTTTGACCTTTCCAAAGAAACCATGCACCATGAATGATTGACAGGTCAAGGAAGGTGATTGGCATACCTGCCATCTTAAGTCTGGGTCAGTTGCACTTCCAGCTTGACAAGAGTAGAACTTGCTTATGGATAGCAAATGGTCTGCTTTGCTTTCACTGGCGTTAGGATTGGGCTGGGGTCAAAGCAAAGGACCCGACTGCTTGTAGATTTATTAGGTTTAAAAAATAAGAGCAGACTGTTAGAACTGTCTCCATGAATCTTTGTTTTCAGTATAGCTCAGCAAAGGTGCTGGGTTAGGGAGTGTGGAGGCTTTTACAAATAAGCTTCAAGGTTAAGTGCGTGAGCAGGGTGTCCACTCTGACCTGCACACTTCTCTTCCAATGGCTCTTGGAGGGCACCTGTCCCACCCTCCCAGCTTTTACCCCACCCTCACTCCCCTCTCTGCTGTACAACCCCCCCCACTCCCCCACCCCCCCACCCCCCGTCCCTAGCTCCCTACTTTGTTTTTGTTGATGCTGTCATAGTCACCTCTTAGTTGAAACCAGCAGCTCCAACGTGGCAGTCCCAGACTGCTGTGGACCTCCATCTTGTTGTGTTCTCGGGCATCTTGGTGATGACTTGGTCAAAGACTCCTGACCTCACCACAGGGCACATAGGCAGAGCACAGAGAATGCTTGTCCAGTGGGATGGGACACCAAGACACAGGGCTCAGGACACAGTGTGGTGTGTGTTTCTGCAAGAACAAGATGAGCAAACAGAAGCTCGACGACGCTCTGGGCTTTGTAACTGGCCCTATGGTTGCAGCTGTTTGGGAGGAATTGGCTTTCATTCCTTTTTATTCTTTTATGGGTAAAAAGCATTAAGATAATACTAGTGAAAACTTTGTTTCTTATCCCCTGGGTGATT